CGCTGAAGTTTTTTTTTTTTGGAAAGAATTTCCATGGAAAATTAACAAACGACCAGAGACGTAACAATATTTAGTATAATTGTTTGGCTAGTTTCATGCTCCATTGTTGTAATGGCCAGCTTAAGGTCAGAGATTACTGTTCATCAGCATTTAGGACTTCATGAAGTCACGTGAAGCGTGTAAGAATAGTATACATTCAAATAAGAAGTAGAACATGGATTATAACTTACTTTTCAGAAGTTGTTTCAGAAGACAAACACAACTCAATGAGGACGCCAGGCTGCACGAGACACCACGAATAGAATTTTTTTGTAACTGTGAAGTGATCTATCATGTAAGCAAGTGTGGAGTGTTATTAGACTGAAAGAGCTAACCACTATATAGCCCTCAGAATATTATACCTTCTGGCGGCTCATTGGTAAGTCTGAGGGCTTATAGCACTAAAAGTCGTGGTTCGATGCCAGTGGTGGCAGGCCGTAGATAGATCATTGTGTAACTTTTTGCCGAGTAACAAACAAATACATAGTTACATATTTCACTCACAGTGAACAAAACTATTACTATTATCGAAATCAGCATTACATATTCTACTTTACTCTTAATTAACCACTCCTTATTAATCACCCCAGTAACTCAGCGGTAAGTCTGCAGGCTTACGATACAGAAACTCTAGTTTTGATACCCGTGGTGAACAAAGAACAGATAGCCCTTTGTATAGTTTTGCACTTAACAACAACCAAACTCCTATTGAACTTCATTTTGCTTTATTCTCAAAACTTCAGAGGGTGACCCCAGGTTACCACAGTGATTGCCCCTGTTTTAAATTATTTTTCATATTTATAATTGGGTTATCATGGTTAAATTAAGTAAAAATTAAATATAGTTTTGAATAGGAAACCTTTATATACGACATAACTGATTATTTTTTCTAGGAATTCATGCACCATAAACAAAACACCTGGTCAGTAATGAAAACACGAAAATGTATCACGGATAGGATAGAGAACTTGTCTTAAAGTTAGCACTACAGTCAAGATCGTATACATATATCAGTATTACTGTGACAAATAAATATCGGATTCCATGTAGTTTTTTCGTTCTTAAAACTAGAACTGGCTTTTATTATTTTTTGATGAAACGTTGAAAAACAAGGAAAACACATTGATATTTCAGTTCTAAAATTGCAAAAGGCCTTCCAACTACAATATTTCTATGCGGAGAAATGAACCGTGGCGCTCATACCAAGGTCAAAAGACCGCTGTCTAGAGTGAGCAGCTGGCAAAGGCAGCTCCGCTTCTCCTCATCCGGGACTTTGCGTTGTTAGCCGCCGCTACCCGGCTATCATTGTGAATCAATGTAAACGTTGTCTTATACTCATCAAAAACTAACAGCACTAACACTGGTAATCTGAATTTGCTACTGTTGGTGCTTAAAATTGAGTAATTTTTATATTATCCACAATTTGGCAGCAAGATACCTACGAGAAGTTGGGAGGGCTCAAAGATACAAAACGAAAGTAAGACGTGATATCTAACCAATCAGATTAGAGATTGTGACTGTTGTAGCTAAGCCTTGAAAGTTGAAGTTAATTTTGTACAAAAGTTACTACGTGCATTACTCGTAGTCGTTATATATACATATGTGTAACGTGTATTTACTTGGGCTTCTTTAAAAAGAAAGTATTAGTACGTTACATATTTATAAAACTAAAATAGTAATTGTAAAACAAACTCGTAACTAGAACCGAATAAACATTTTCTATTTAGTATGATGACCAAAATGGTAAATAGTGAGCCCGAACAAACTGACGCTAACGGCAAGTTCAGCGGCCAGAGAAACCTTATGTTTTCCAAGGCGGAAAAAGCCGAAACATGGAACCAAATCAACGGAACCTCGACGGACCCGTCTGATCTGGGTAACAAAGAAAAGGTAGGTCATAGATAATTAAAATGTAAATATAATTTTAGACATATCTCTTTGATATTCAGATTAGTATTTCAAACTTTTAATTAACTTTGAAAAAAGTATTTTACACTTTTAGCTGAGACATAAAATTTATCGTATTGACTTGTTTTAAAATTAAACAATCATTACATTGAACGAATCAGGAGAAGAGTAGAACTTTGATGTAATTTGTCTTCTAGTTTTTATCATTTTTATTTATAAATTTTAGTTATTATATTAAGTAAAACATTGTTTATGATGTATTTTGTATAATTTAATGATTTTCCCATTCAATATTTGTATGAAAAATGATTTAGTATATGTGTGCAAAGCGTACACGTCATTCTACCTTATTGATGTTATCTACATAACGTACAGATCATTCTACCTTATTGATGTTATCTACATAACGTACAGGACATTCTACCTTATTGATGTTATCTACATAACGTACAGGACATTCTACCTTATTGATGTTATCTACATAATGTAGACGTCATTCTACCTTATTGATATTATCTACATAACGTACAGGACATTCTACCTAATTGTTCTTAACTACATAACGTACAGGACATTATTCCTTATTGACGTTATTTATATAACGTACAGGTCATTCTACCTTATTGTTTTTATCTATATATCGTAAAGGCCATTCTACCTTATTGATGTTATCTACATAACGTACAGGTCTTTCTATCTTCTTCATGTTATCTACATAACATACAGGATATTATACCTTATTGACGTTATTTACAAAATTACAGGTCATTCTACCTTATTGTTCTTATCTACATAACGTGCAGGACATTATACCTTTTGATGTTATTTATGTAACGTACAGGACATTTACCTTATTGATGTTGTCAACATAACATTCAGGATATTATACTGTTACGTCTCCGTTCGTTAGTTATTTTTCCGTAAATTCGTTCCGACGAAACTTTAGCGACACTAGTCCTTTCTTAAATAAAACTGGTTTATTCTTTCCGAATACAACTTTACGATACACTTAATTTCAACAGTCGCTCTATAACTAACGTTATAATTCTCAACGAACGTCTTACGTGCCCAACAATATTCTCTCTGTCAGCATACATTCAATTACTCATCCTCCCCGTCGCTTCGTGGCCGGTCTTATATATACAAGTCTACACTATAT